TTAAGGCTTTTCAGGGCTGTAGGGTGTAGACTATCGACGGGCCGAGTACGTGTAGACCCCTGTTCGGATTACATGGATCAGATGCTCTCAAGATCCTTCTTGAGAGGATTGCTATTCAAGGATCCACATTGAAGCAACCGGGAACAGACAGGGGTGATCATGCATCGCAACAAGACTGTAGCTACCGCCGCTGGGTTAGTAACTAATGGTGCCAGTGGCTGAACATCGGCTGCATGATGGGCTGCATAGAACATCGCCACACACACACACACACACACACACACACACGTGTGGACGCATGCCATGCGTGGTGTTTCTGTCCAGTCCGGTCCGACTTCCAGCATCAAGTGTAAAGCTTAGCTGCCTCAAGACGTGTTTGTTCCAGCCGCTGCGGACATGGTGGCCAAAGCTCTGCTCTCTGATGACTTCGTGGCTCCCTTTGCACATGGGGCAGTGGGTCTACCACCATCACCAGTCCAAGACAAATCCGTATGAAACAAACATCATCAAACAGTCTGTGTGTTGATGCATCGAATTAAGCCCAGAGAGTGAGCCGGAATTGTGACAGAGTATTGGAGTCATGGGAACTCCGTTCATGCCACTTCATCGAGACAACAGCCTTTCAAACCTAGGAAACGAGTGAATGTCATCGCAATAGGCGCAAATCAATTCATGTTGCTGTCGATGCAGGAGTTTGGGTTTTTACGTCAGATTTCATTCTGTCGACCTGCACATCAGCTGCCTGTTCAACGCCTTCCCGCATGGACACAAAACTGTGCTCAACGGCAGCTTGGTCTTTTAGACCACGGCCACCTGTGAATTCAGGTTTCAGCTTTTTCTTTACAGCTTTACAAATCGGCAAGTATAAGTCTCCTCCTTCGGAACCCATGGCTAGGTTTCCGGCTAAAAGGCCGCCTTGGTGAATTGCAAGATCTCATGCGTGCATGCAGTTCAGAAGCCTGCTTTCTTCCAGGTCTGACCGCGACAGCTCAAAAAGTCTTTTGCTGTCAGTAAAAATTTGCGGTAGCCCGGGAAGACCGGAGCATCACTGGCTGTGCAGCTGCCTCTGCCGCTGCCTTCCGGCATCAATGTGGGAGATCAGATGCCTTGCACGATCTTCCAACGAAGAACTTTTGCTTTGCTCCCGTCCAGATTTGCAGCTCGCTCGGCCAACACCTTCGCACGGCCCCGATAGCCTCGCTGGGTTTCCAGGAGGCCCCACGCCACAAGCAGAGTGGCAAGCCACTTGCAAGCCACCTGCACATCACGGCTGGTTGCTTGAGTTGCTGTTCGTGAACGCACTCGAAACTGTCCATCAATCCACACATCCAGCTCCTTTTGCAGTTGCTCTTGAACAAAACGTGTCCCGTCTTGGAAGACGCGCCTCGCAGCATCGAAGTGCCCGTTGTTCTTCTCTGTCAAAGCTAAGTTCAGCCATGTGCAGGCGGCAGCAGCGAATGAAGGCACCTCCCTTGCTGGTGGCATAGTGCTGTACAGCCCAATGGCCGTGCGGTACACAGCCGTTGCTCCATCCCAGTTTCGCTTTCGTCGGAGCTCCACTGCACGGTAGTGGAGCTTCGCTAGGCGCCTGAAGCTGGAGCTCTGTGACTCGATGTCGGAGCTGACTCCCCTAGCTGCACCTTTCAGAGCCGCTGTGTAGTAGCCAAGCACGGCATCCTGCTTGGGACACGTCACCCAGGTTCGGGACATGGGAACCACCACCCCGAACCACAAGCAGCATGCAAGCGCTGGAAAGATCCTTCCATGCTTGAAGCAAACCATGGTCTTGCAGAGTGGCCCCGCTGCTGCAACGTCGTCGCTTGCCCCGGAAACTTCTGCGGTTCGCCGACCGTTGCTCTGTCCGCCCTCATTCGGAAAGCCCTACTCTGGCTAGCTTCCTTTCCGAAATCGAGACTCGCCCTTCAAATGCCTATCTATGCCAAATGCACAGCCACAAAAAGCGGCAACAGCCTCAACACCGACACCACCCGCAACATGTAGCCGCCATCATCGTCAATTCGTCATGCACAACTTCACTATTCATGAGCATCACCGCCAACGTCATCATGGCCATGTGTAGCCATGCCCTTCTGAGGAAAGCAGTTGTGATAAGCTATCGTCGTCATCTTATGTCATCGCTATGGCGATCGAAAACGCAACTCGCAAGCACCCGCTGCCTCGCGATCGCTGAAGCGAGCGCACCCATATGGGCCTGAAGAGAGCCCAGAGCAAAACTAGTTGCTCTTGAATTGGCGCTACAGCACTCACTCTGCTGGCCTCTAGTTGATCTCCTTTCGGCCTCCCTTGATGGCGCTAACGACTCTGGAGACGGTGATTGCGAAGGTGCCCGCCATGGTGATACTGAAGATGAAGCAGGGGAGCATGGTGATTGTCAATGTGCATAAGCATACACATGTAGATGTTTTATGTCACCTGTAAGTGTGTGTGCGCACATATATGTAGGCGTCTGTGTATATATCTGTGTGTAGACATATATACACAGACTCATATCTACGTACCTCCATCCATCCATCCATCCATCCGTCCATCCGTCCATCCATCCATCCATCCATCCATCCATCCATCCATCCGTTCCAGCATGCATGCATACATACATACCTGCATACCGACGTACCTACATACAGACATACAGACAAACAGGCAGGCAGACGGACAGGCAGACGGACAGGCAGCCAGGCATCCATGCATGCATAAACACCTACATGCATAACAAAACAGCAGAAGAGTGAGAGCGAGACGCCAGGATAGAAAGCATGGGCATCACAAAAAAGCACTGGCATGCTCCCGTGAGTCATGCTTCTCCATTGCTCGAAGGCTTCATTGCTTCCGCTTCAGGAGTGGAAGAGTGAGTTGGAGCGATATTGAGGGTCAAACTGGTGTCAGGCTCGGCCAGAATCACACCTCTGCTAAAGAACCAGAAGTCAGTTTGGCAGCCTCGATCGCTCTTCTCATCCTTGTTGTACCACCTCGGAGAATCTCAACCCGATGTAAGACAAGGGCCTGAATGCTTCTAATACCCGTACTAAGGATTCATTATACTTGTTCCACAATAATCCTAATTCCTAAATCACACCCTACACTGAAATCCTGAAAAATGGATTCCGGGATCCTCAAAGTTGACACTAAACCTCAAGCCCTCAAAACCTGGATCCTAGCCACCAGGAGCAAAAATGCTACATCTGTAACCTGAAACCATGGATCCTAAGGCTTAGAGACCCTCAGGCCCTGGATCCTAAAGCTTCAAAGCTAAACCCTAAACCCGCGGTCCTAATTCTTAGACCCCGGATCCCACAGGCTAACCAATTAAACCCTGAGCCTAAACCCAAACGGTCTCAAACCCTAAAACCCTAAACCCAAGCTGGATGAAATCCCAAACCCTAAACCCTGACCTGTAAATGAAATCCCAAACCCTAAACTCTGACCTGTAAATCCAAACTGTCTTAAACCCTAAACCAACAAATCTTTTCTGCGGCTGGGAAAACCCTAAACCCAAACTGCCTGTTGTGAACCCGGACTCTTGCGATCAGCTGGGAAGCAGCACTGCCAAACGAACTAAATCTGGGCAGGGCCGCCAGTTTGGGCTTAAACCCTAAACCCCAAACCTGAAAACCCTACACCCACACCGCTCTAAAGCTCGCATCCCGGGAGCCTCCAACTCCTGAGTCCCGTGCTGACTCCTTGGAAGGATCTCTGTTGGCCCGAGCTCCAGGGGCGTGTCCTACAGGGTGGAGGATTCCAATAGGGCAATACAGGGGCCTTAACAATTAACAATTAGAATAGGGTTTTTGGTGTATATTATACTTTATAACTATAGTAAGGAGCACCCAAAAATCACAGCAAGCCCTTAAAAATATGTACATGCCTGAGGGGGTTGGGACTTTTGGCGGTTTGGGTGCTTGTGGTTTTTTGACTCGGAGAGGGGGGGATTGGTTGGGGGCAGGGGATTCAGGGTTAAATGTAGACCTCAAGTGGTTCCCTTTCGGGTCTTCGGATCTGCACGGATGTTAACCTAAGTTGCTTGTGCATAAACTCTCAGACTGTGCCAGGCAAGGTTTGAAGACGATACTGGGAAAATTCCTTAGCCGGTTCATGTCAGCTGTCTCACCAACAGGACCGGCCGTCGTCAAGTTAAGCTCAGAAAGACTTTGCACAACTTCTCCATTCGAGCGAACGGCTTTAGGGTTTGCCCCGGTAAAAAAAACGCCCGTTCCTTAACAAGGATGATTATGTTCGGGATCCACAAGCTGCGCCAGGCCTTCCAAATAAAGGGCTTCATTGGTCAGGGGTCGACAGAACGGCGAACCCCGATGCTTGGCTGTAAGGGACTGTAAGAAAGGGCCAGGGCGGCTAGGGCATGGGGTTTGGGGGCTTCAAGGTTTTTTTGCCACCTACTTCGCGAGGGCAAAACCCGCATGGCAGGGTCGAGGTTTGGGCCGGTTTGGGGGTTGGAGATGTAGAACATGACTTTTTTGGGATGGTTAGGACTTGCACAGCAAAGGGTGGGAGTTTAGGGCTCGGGAGCTCATGCCAGGGAGGCATGGGGCAAGAAGCCCGCCTGAGGAAAGTAGAGCGCCATGATCCAATAAGGGCACGCATTGCGCGGATGCCAATGCCTAGTGCAAGGGCCGGCATCCTGGCTTACTCATGGACTTGGGTCTCCCACTGCTGCCAAGCCTAGCCTGAGCTCGGAAAGTACATGGCGAAGTCCAGCCCTAAAATCAAAATCTGAAACATAGAACCAACCAAGCAGATTCTCGATTGAACGATCTTTAGGTACACGATCGGCCATTCAACCAACACTTGCTCCAACTGCAAAAGCGGCCATCACTTCTTCAATGTTACTTTCGTATGCCATTAAGGACTGAAATGTTCAGCGGGAGTCCTGTGCTAGGGACGTGCGAGCCGACTCGAGGCAACGCGTGCTTTGCAGGCGGTTGACACATGTAGACAAAAGCTGAGTTGGCCAGGCGGCCCCCAGAAAGAGTCGCGGTGCCACGTTTGCGGCGTCGGTCGCTCACTCGTGTGGCAGTATCTGTGCCTGAAGATTTGGCTGGAGCAGGGGATAGTCAGTGCCGCTCATGCCGACAGGTTTCGGGACCATAGTCATTCCCCTTGTCGCATAGGTAGTGTCAACCCTCTGACTTCTCATGCGGAGCAGGAAATCTTACAACTGTGAAATCTAAAGGCATACCACCGAACCTTGGAGACATGTTCGCCGAGAGTGTTACACTGTGCAGCTGTCCGGAGCATCAGGCTGGTTGAGGACTGCGTTCAAGCCTTGCATCCAAGCTGAAAGCCAGGCCAAAGATCCGACATCTCCTGAAACAGCAACCGAACGCTGCACAACCCGAAACTCAAATCTCGAAACCCTGCTTTAAGTCCTAAAGGACAAACCAAGCCTCACAAACTTAAAGAACTCAAATAGACCCCCAGAGCACCCTCTGAGGCCCTTCTTGAAAGAGCTGGACTTCAGACCGAGCCCCTCAACTTCGACTGCAACGCCTTCATATTATGGTCAGATCTAGTTGTGGCACATGGGAATTTCCGAGAATTGGGGCCAATTAGGGGTACCTTAGTCTGGGGTTCTTATAATGAGGATCCTACTATTTAGGGTGCTTTTATCTATTTTCGGAAGCTCCCATATTGATACTTGTATCAAGGAAACCTAAGGAATAGTAACGAACAGTACTTACAAGTTATATATGCTAAATGTAACTATTCCGGACCCAGTCAACGGAGGATCTCTGCGGCCGAGCGTCGGATGCAGAAGATATCCCGGTCCAAGGAGGCTCTCCTAAGCTTCCCTCTTTGATTCTGTGGGGCACAAAAACCCTGCCCTAAACCCTAAAAGGGTTGAAGAGTTGGGGCTCAGAGGCTTGAGGCTTTGGGTTTGGTAGATAGGACGAACCAACCGAGGAGCCTTTTTGCGGAACCTAAACACTTCCGCCTCTCAAGCGTAGACCCCACCATCGTGCCCACAAGGGTGGAATGGCAAACGGACAGGGAAGCATCGGGCTTTCAAGCGGAAGCCGGTACGTCTTGCGAGAGGCTATGGGCCGTCTTTAGATTTATGTAATGAGCTTTGGCTCTAGTTAGGATAGTCTAGGCTTTAGATGAGATGGGCGTAGGATACCAGAAGCCCTCTTTGGGTGCCATCCGAGACGCGATGGCGCCCCGAACTCGCGGCGACTCGTAGATGTTTAGCAGGTCTGGGATGGCTGGGAAGACGTTGTTTCCGAGCCTGAGTTCGCAAGGTACAGGGTCTTGTGTTGTTTCTGTTCTTCTTTTGGGAGTGGTGCGTTTCGGCTTTAATTTTGTTTTGGTTTTGGGTTTGGGAAGTAGGTCCAGGATTTTCGAGTGCTTACTCATTCAGAACCCACTGGGACTTCGAACAGTGGCCCTATGTAGAGGTTCCTGTCAGGTCCTGACATTTGGCGCTCCCAAATGCAAAACGACCTCAGGGACCCCAACTGACTCTCGCATGCGCATGGGCTTGCATCTTGACTACTATCTGCTGTGTCATCCGACAACAACGGGCACCTGCTTTTCTGCTCACGGTTCTACACAGGAGCTCACACTAAGCGGGAAGCTCTTCGGCGCGGCGGCCGAAGGCAACGGCCTGCTTGTAGATGGAGTCGTGTATCTCGGCTTGGCCTGGCGCCCGTAATTCGGGGGAGACGAGGCCCATGACCAATACTTGGGCAGCCTAGCATGCTGACCATCCTGAGCTACGAGGTCTAAATTTTCGGAAGCCTGAGACAGCCCGAGAAAACAAGTCTCTGTACTACCACAACCCTGGATCCAAACTTGATCTTTGGATGCCCTGCCCCACGCCTCATTCAACAACTGGGTGTTTTCGCATTCCGGAACGGTGAACTCCTAAGCAGTGAACCCCCAAAAGCTCCCAAGTGTTTCTCCTCTGTTCAGGGCTTACGCCCTAAACACAAAAAGCCCTAACCTCCGAACCCCACAGATCTCTGAGCCACTCCCAAAAAGGGCCGTCACAAAAGCAATTTGCTCCAGGCCTTCGTCTGGCGAAAGCTCCAGGAATCCCTCAACGATAAATTGCCTTAGATGGACAAAGAATCCAAATATGGAGCCTTAACAGTTCGAATAGGGTTTCTTTGGGGCTTCGGTGCTTCACGACTTTGTGGTTTTGACACTCACACTCGGACGAAGTCGTTTGTGGTTTATGGCTTTGAGCTTTGAAGGCTTTTGGAGTTAGCTATTGGGCTTATGAACTATCAGGAAGGTGCCGATTTGAGCAGAGGGTTCGGGACCTCTGGCTCATTACATCATATAGAAACGAGACCCACGATATTGGCGAGATTTCTACTGTAAACATCTGTGGGATGCCTCAGGAAGACTATTGCTCCACCACCACACTCCCTTTGCTTGTCCAAGCTGGGCTTGCCACCAAAGAGCCTAAATAGTGGCAATGCCTTGCTGAGTCAGAGGCACAGCTACCGAGGCACGGTTACGCACACAATTCACGAATCGCAAAGCTCCGACCGGACCGGTTGGTTTGAGGGACAAGATGTCCGAATTCGCTCATTATCTCTTTGCTTCCATGGCCTAGTGCACGTGCTTCATTTTGTTCATATATATATATATATATATACGTGTGTATTTCTCCACTGCCGCCTGCTCTTTGCCTAGTACATACTTCGGTCTAGGGTGAGGCTTGGTTCGACTCCACATCAAAACGGGTCCAACCAAACACACAAAAAGCGGATCCGCGGCTTCTTTCCCCTCCGACCCCAACTTGCGACAAATCCTCGTCTGGAGCGGCACGACAAGGCATCTCCAACTACGGGGTTGCTCGCCTTGACCGAGAAGCTTGGCTCCCGTGACTTCGGGGTAAGGTGGGCAAGGTTGGTCACAGAATCCGAAAGCTGTAGGCAGAACCGACTCCATGGAGCCAGGGTGCTGCACCTGCTTGTCAGACCTCAGTTGCCGCCAGCTGCTTTCTACTACGATTTCGAAAACGTCGCTAGAGTGTCAGCACATGAAGCAAAGCTCTAGACATATGATACAGCTACTACAGTAAGCAATGGGTGCAACCACCGCCACCGCCAATCAATGCAATTGCCGTCTCCTCACTACGACCATGCAATAACTCCACGTCAATCTTCACAGCCAACACCAGCACTTCTGCCATTGCCACCAAAATCTGTGCTGCCAGATTCACCACCACTACGATGGTTACGAACCCGAAATCATACCGGGCCTCGCGATCAAACACTACCTCCACCGCCGAAGCCGAAGCACAGGGGCACCGGCACTGGCCGCGTTACCATGCTAGGCCGCGCCGCCGGCTTGGCATCTGTGTAGCCCTGGCCGGCTCTTGCCCTTAAGTCGTTCAAAGCAACATCATATACATCTATTTTTGTGCCAGTATCTGCGCAAAAATAGATGTGAGAGAGAGAGAGAGAGTATGATATAGATGCAAAGTGCCAAGATGTTTCCAAAGGTTGTGACTCCGCCAAGATCAGTTGGTCCATGAGATGTCGGGACAGTTGCGGTTGCTGGGCGTGGCCAGAAGAGGAAGAGATTTAGGGCTGATGGTTTACAGTAAGATTTGAGGGTTTGGGCTCGAGAGTCTATGGCTTCGCTAGTCGACACGAATGTGGACCCCAGCTCAGGAAGCGCTACATTAAAATCTCTTGTATGTCCAGATCCGTGAGCCCAGAAAGCCTGTCGAACAAATGGCCCAAAACGCGAGGACTCTCCAACCTAGTTCTCAAACAGAAGCCGTAACCAAAAGCTCTCAGCTCACTACCCCAACCTTACTTTACCCTGAGCACACAGGCCGGGTTAGGGCCACCCGAAACTGCAATCGTGGATTTCGGTTGAGGGTTAAGGAACATAAGCCCCAACTTGGGTAAGCCCCAATTTGGGTAGGTTCGGGTAGATCTCTAACTTGGCCCCCCAGCCCTAAACCTTGCCTGCCTCGGCAAACGCTGGCTGACTTTGAGCCCCTTGCCGATCCCGGCGCCAGCGCTGCCTGACAGCGGCTCAAGATACTGCCTGGGGGGCTACGACGGATTTGCCGTGCAGGTAGCAGGGTTAGAGCAATGTGTTCAATGCCTTGCATCACACTTTCGTGTGGCGTGAGGATTCACTACCTGTAAGCCCCATCTACTGCCCCAGTGGCTTTGTTGTTGGCTGGCTCGCGGCTGACCGCCAAGGCACCGCCGGAAAATGTCAGGCATGCCTCAACCCTAAGTCCTATAACCAAAGGTGATTCGAGGGTTCATGGTGCAGGCAGGCTTCTGCCGTTTTAACCGAACTTACGAACAACTAGGGGGCTGTACAGGGGGATGTTGTTGTTAGCAAGCCTTGGGCCACAAGCCTGCAACCCCGAAAACCTGAAACACCCAAACCGTTACCCAGAAACACTGACTCCATATAGCCCTACACCTGAAAGAGCCTTCAAGGATCCAACCCAAGACCTGAAGTGTCCAACAACCCCAGGAGCCCCATCCAACCTGCCGACCCCGGGTAGTGAAACAATGACCAACTGGGGAGCCGGCTTCTTCCCACCATCTCGGAAGCAGCTCCAACGTGTGGGTATGGGACTAATGGCTTCTGGTTCTCTTATGATGTGGGTGGGCGGGGGTCTCAGAAAGAGGGGCACTTGTGTAGGTCCTTGTAAGACATATCCTCTCATGCGGAGGTATTTGTGCGGATTCCCGTGTTTTCTGAAACTCGAATATTGCAGGCTGTTCAGTTTCGGAACAAAGGAGTGGTGCATGTGAACGCCGGCTAGTGTGCTTGCTGCCTGGCAAGGAACCTCTGGCATTAGCCAGTCTTCCTGCTCACAAACTTTTCAGCCTCTCGTTCGGTTCATGAACTGTCTGGCAGTGGCACTAGCGAGACACGATCTGTTCCATTCGTAAAAGCCGGTATGGCCGCTTACGCAGAAGCCTGTTCAGAATTACATGCTTGCTGATGCGGATGCCGTGGTTGAGTCCGAGATCCTCCTGCTCCTCCCCCTGCTCCTGGTCCTGCAACCTTTACAGCAGACACTGGCGTTATGACGACCATGTTGCTACTGCCCCTCTGCTTGTGGCAGCAGTGGTTTAGGTGGCGACGATGGCGATGGCGCTGGTAAAGCCCTCGTCTGACGACTGAAGCAAGCTTTTATGTTTTGCCATACATTTGTTGTCCGTGGCACCCATGTAAAAACAGCAAACAGATGGAATACTCAAAATCCTTCGGCTACATCAGCCTGACAAGACAGACGACCTAAATCCTGACAATCTTTAGGCCCGAAAGGAAAACACGCCAAGGCTCCAGGAGGGCTTGGATCTATCAGCTGAGGCAGCGCAGCATCGCACATGGCTCACGAAACGGTGCTGGCTGGGTTCTTGGGCGGAGTTCGATATCCGGGCATCAGTCTGTTCGGATCAGTAGTTGAAAGTTGGGGGCTGCGGCGGGCCGTTGCTGCGGGACTGTGCAATGTAGAATCTATGCTTGGGCGCATGTTGCGGACGGCACCGAGCTCAGATCTTGCGGAGATATCTAGGCTTTCCCCTAACAGATCCTAAGTAAAATTTCCGCCATCATCCCCACATTTGCTGTTGTCATGGCTTCATCGCCACAAGGGTGTCGCAAGCTCAGCCGGAAGTGGCAACGGCAACGAAGTTTTCATGCAAGGTCAACTCCGTCTCGCTCACGGCCGGCGATAAACAATCATTCAGGGTCACCCAGTGTGCCACCACTGTCTTGCAACAGGCCTTACTAGCTCTGTGGGTTCACCTGTGGACACGGCAGGGGGACGTCGATTCGCTCGCCGCCGTTGTCGAAGATGCGTTCCTCTTAAGCTTGGGTTCTGAGCCGGCCCTCGGGTTTTGGGAATTCAGAGGCGATGGAGGGCTTTGGTGCAAGTACTTAGAAAAGGCCCATGCGATAAGGATCCGGCTGGTGGGTGGCTGAAACACATATACAGCGCTGCGGCCAAGAGCTTCGGGGTTTAGGCTCATCTCAATCCATGCTTCCGCAAGTCTTCTCTGCGAGGAAAACCCAAGAGTAACCCATGAGCTGATCCCCTGAGACAGCACTCAAGTCTTAAAGCTGGAGCTGCAAAACCTGGATCCAAAAACGCCGTCCCTAAACCCTACATACTGCCACTCCTTGCGCCCTAAGTTCCCGGGACCCCTTCACGCATGGGCAAGCGGCATTCAGCAACGTGAGCAAGGCATTCAAGATGGAGGAGTTTGCCTGAGCAGGCTCTTTAACGAGTTATGCCGCCTCTGTGTAGCTACGTTCAGGCTGCAGGGTGTGAGAGTTTGGGACTTTGAATCTAGGAATAGTTGTGATGGCTCTGAGACTGGGCCTACCTGGCAGCAGCTTGCTTTTGCGGAGCTTGTGGTGCTATACCGAGGCCCGGAGAAGACGACAAGAGGCCTGGAACCCCTGGAGCCCCAGAACTGTGACCTCTGGCGCTGTAAGCCTCAAGCCCTGAAGCCACAGTTACCGACGACGTGGGTGAAAGGATCAGCTGCCATGAAAGCTTCACAAGCCTCTGAAGGTTTGTACTCCGCAGCCAAACAAAGCACCTTGGAAGACTAGATACAACCTGATCCCCAACCCCCGAAAAGACCAAGGCTGCATACACGAAGCTGTCATGTCTACTACCTAAACTCTACCTTTCCCAATCCTTCTTGTTCCGAAACCCTCTGG